AAACCGCGAAACATGAGGGTAGTAAACAGCCATTTACCCTAATTAATATATAAACCTATTATATATACATTCATCTGCATGACATTTAGAATACAGAAAATATCGAATTCTTCTTCTACAATCCTAAACCTTCTTACTAAGAGAACCACATAGAAATTTGCCAGAAGTCAATTTTCCGATGCTGGAATTCTAACTTAGATCGTTGAATCCTGGTGAAACAAACGTCCGTAGAACTACAAGCACTGTAGGGGGGAAATATCTATTTCAAGGACATTGTAGTACGTAAGCCTCGATCATCAGTTTATCTGTTTAATATTATTTCGTTGTTCATACTCTATTAGGTTAGTTGTTCGCATTTATTATTTATTAACATCTATAAATTTATCATTGATTGTTGATATTTATCCAACAATACTATATTGCACTGGTCAACAAAAGTGAGATGCAATATGGTTAATTTAAACGTTGGCACTAAAGAATTTTCTTAGGAGTAGAGACATGTATGGCTATGCGCTGGCTGGAATGTTCTCTTTTATTTGTCACAAATAATGTTGACTGTTATTTATCACCCAATGCATTTTGATTATTAAGCTAATCTTTAACAATCGATTTAGCTTTTTTTAAGAGATTATTTGGGTGAGTGACTTTCAAATTTCAAAGGATTTAGACGAATTGAGGAAAAATTACATTCGAAAACATTACACATGAGAGATTAGTGATACAATATATGCTTATTTCAAAGGTATGTAAGACAAATTTGCAATGACTTCTTTCAAGTAGTAAATTGGTTAAATAGTTAAATGTTGGGGGAGGGAAGAAACTCGAAAGGAATCGAAAATGCATCAAGGTGCATAGGCATTATTATTTTCTGCCACTACGGTAAAACATCATCTACATCATCATTTGGATTAATGTATATAATTTTTGGCAATTATTAGCACGAATTATCAGTTTTTTATATTTGATTGCAGAAATGATTTAGTCATTATATCAGTTTTGTGTGATTGTTATGTCATTGTAGAGTTCAATATGTCGTTGTTATAAAAAAATTGATCATCTCTACAACTAAATCTCAAAAACTAATCAATAATTATTGTTAACTGCCCTATTGTTTTTGGTAAATGGCCCACAAATTAGGCTTATAACTAACTCTAACTTGTTAAATTAGTTCTCTATATACAAAACCTAAAGCACAAAGCCGATTGAATATTATTTTCCCCACTGCATGCCAATACAAGGCAGACCATGCCAAAAAGGCAACTATTAAGGATTTTTCACATGTTCTTGGTAAATGATAACATTATAGTTTAGAAGAAAAAAAACTTCGAACGAAAAATTTTAGGAGAGAAAAAAAAATTGACTTTGCATTGAGAGAATGTCACCAAAAGAATTTTATAACTAAGAATCAGTCAGAGTATAACAACATTGATAAGTGGAGAAATGTAATTTTTTTTTACCCTCCAATTGAACTTTTTGCTTATCGTATTTTTATATAAAAATTATAGTTATTGGATATGTTTTGTTTTTTAATGGAATATATCTTAGTCATGTAGTATTATGATATGATGATAACTTCAAGTTTTTTATTAAAAATCTCGTGGATGACGAGTTTAATATTAATTTATTATCTCACCACTTAGTGTAAATTATATCATTGCATAAAAAAAATACTATTAAGAGGTAAGTATGTTTCACACCATCGAAATCTAGCATCAATTTCAAATGGGTCACAAATTTTTAATTTTATCATGTTGCACCCAAGAGCTTTAACATTTGACCAATTTACTCCTTTTGTTATGTCATCAATTAACAGTCAATTAGATAGACAACCTAACACAAAGTAAATTGGTGAACTGTCAAAACATTTGAGGTTTGCGAAAAAATTAGAACCACAAAACCTTTTTATTAAATAAAACAAAATTTACACCTAACCTCGACTGTGTGAAATGTGGTTTGTAAAGAAAGTTAAGGTTCTACAATAAAATCAATCGGCAATTTGGGTAGTAACCCAACGTACCTATAAGCCTACGCAAGGTACTTTATCCCATCAATATGAAAATCATTCTCAACTCGCCCCCTCACTTATACCGAAATTTCAAGCCTAACACATAAACAATACAAACAGGGTAGCGTGGAGCACGTGTGATTGTTGGGCTTCACATGTCACACATGACAATCTTCTCTGATACCATGAATAAAATTGTGGTTCCACTCTAAAACAGATTAATTAGCAATATGAGTAACCCAACTTGCTTATAAATCTATGCAAGGTCACTTCTCCCATCAACGTGAAATTCATTCTCAACAATTTGCTCTAATAAAGGATAATACTTGGGAACTCATTCGTGAGTATGCACCTTTTGATTTTGTCCAATGATATTTTGACACATGTTTTATTGTTTTATAAGATAATGGACATCTTATTAATTTTTAGGGAGTTTTAATGAAATATTTCAGGTACTGTTCATTTTAAACGAAAAATCACATTTTTACATTTCCCTGTTACTATTCACTACACCTTTATTTGTCATTTTTCATTAAAATTAAAGTTTTTGTGGACTTTTCGTTAGTTTTCCTTAATTTTTATTGGTTTTAAAAACAATGAACACATGACATTATTTTGTTAGGCCAAATAAAAAAATGGGTACATAGAATACTCACTTGTAAGTATGTGAGTATGAACAATACTTGACTACTCAATGATGAGTAGGAACACCTAGTAAAAAAATTTCATGTTCAAATCATAGAGCTTCGTGCTTATAATGAGAACTGTTCATATTATGAATTAGTCTATAAAAATCATCTTTGCAAAAAAATGAAATAAAACTAAAGTCGTTTAGTCAATCTATTGTAGCATATACATAGATAGTTTGTAATGTTTTTACCAATTTCGTTCAAATGTTTTTATACAGTTTGATGACTAAATTACCTTAGTTTTAATTAAGTTTTTGTAGAAGCGATATTTATAGATTGATTTATAATATGAACGAGTCTAAACATAAACACGAAAGTCTATAAATCTGACAAAAAATAGTTTTAAGTAAAAACTCATACTCATCTTTGAATAACAAATATTATTCCCTAATAAAGCATATAATGATACAATTTTCACAACTAGCAAATCACATCCCTAGAGTAATTTAATGGGCGCCGTTCGCATGCAACCTCTCTTGTTTTGAAATATTTGGGTGCTTCTAGCATAGGCTAGGTACATAGTAGGGACCCCCACACACCATGCATGAATAGATGATTTGCTTCCTTAATTTGCATTTTTATCTTCTCCCAAACTGTAATTCCCTTTAAATATCAATGACTTGAAACGCCCCTAGAATTGGAGGGTTATCGAAAAGAGTGTGTCAATCACTTATTTCAACTTTCATTCGAATCTCTTGGCACAAATACCCCACACAACTTTTTTTTTTTAATGACTACCTAATTTAATCCTCAATTTTGTTACTAAATAATTTTTTATTACTACACAATATGGTATTTCGTTGTCATGTTGTTAATTTTTTGACATACAAAGAGCTAAAGTATTGAGTAGAATGGCAATCTAAACTATTCCCTTCAATTTCTTAAGGGAACTATTCCTAAAGTTGGATTCTAGATTTAAAACTGTACAATCTCAATTTGTGAGTCACTAGCTCTGTAGGCGCGACTTTCATTATGTCATGTTAGTAGTTATGAAATGTTCAATTTGTGCTTGGCAAATAGCATGCATGCAAAGTTTGTGAATTCTAGGCAGATGAGAGAGATAATGAACTAGAGAGGGAGTAGGCCGCGGGAATGAGAGATTTTTCAATGTGATCAGAACACGGGATAGTATATCACGTGCCACTATTTAAATGGTGGGATATGTGTGTTAAAATGTTAATAACTAAAAAAATAAATTTTCTCACCACTTACCTAAAAACACATGGTATATCACCCATGTTCCCGTAACAATGAAAAATTTCTCCGTGGGAAGAAAGTCCAGTAATCATTGTATGAGAATAACATTACTAGAATTTCTCGCGCTGCCTTCTATTAATTTGTACTTAAAAATAAAAAAATAAAAAAAATAAAAAAACTGTATACATACCACAACAATACATTATTGACAGGTATATAAAACTGGAAATGAAGCTTAGATGTATGGTTTGCCAAATTTCATCTTTGGTATATATTTCCTTTTTCATGATCCATTAGCAATATAATTGCAATCCATTATTTACACATTTCAAAGCCATATTTATATATGTCCATCTAAACTGTAATATTAATCAAGACTATATAAAATGCCTACATGGCTGTGAAAAATTTCATCTTACTAACTTGACTTATAGACACTGAGTTTACAAGGTTTATTTATGGAGACTTAGTTCCAAAACGAACAGGAACACAATCATGATTTTAATCATACACCTCCCAAAAGGGTAACGCTAGGCAGATCAATTTTTTAGACCAAATTTGCAAATCAAGTGATGTATCACCAATAAAAAATAAGCACGTTAATCAACACTTACGTAATAATTCAATTATCAACAACCATATATATCATATAGTGTACAGACTAAATATAGTTTAAATAAATAGTTTTCCTAACATTATCTATACCAAAATGACATTACAATTAAAATAAACCAATTACCAACATTCCCAACAGTAAGTAGTTGTAACTTGTAACTTTCATGTCTTGATCATGTCAAAGAATTATAAAATTTTATTTGGAAGACAGTTGCAGCTAGTTCACCTTTTTCGCATTACCTAGTCACAATTTTGGCAAATCTCTCGATATTCAGAGTTCATTTACGTGGGAGAGTTATGCAAGTCCTGAGCTGCAAGCAACTGGTTTTGCATGGAAATCCTATGTCCTGGAAAGCTGGCTCGTTAGTTGTGCTTTTCTTCCATTCGTTATTTTAATTTTGATTTTAATTTTATTTATTCATTCCCTGATCAATTTTTGCGTATAAATGGCTCTATAGTTAGCTAGTTTTTTTCAGAATCACCTTCGAATGAAATAAGTTTGAGTTGTTTCTATCTTTAATACTAATTATCTGAGAGATTTTCCTCATCTGTGCTGAGTGTGCTTTCTTCTCTTCTGCATGAAAGCCTTTAGAATATTTGGCGTTGAAGAGGTTATGAATATTCCCAAGTTCTTATTCAGAGTAATCTTTGGTTAGTTTCAACTTAATTTTCTTTTCTCTCTGTGTTTCCCTTTTCTTTTTTTTTTCTTTTTTTCTGATTACGGATTTCCTCCTTACTTTGATGTAGGAAATGCAATTGCTTTGTTCCAGTTCTTGGCACCAACGTATGCATACTATACTTAGATATTCTAAAAGAGAATTATTACTGGCACTCTAAAATTCTCTTTGAGCACTATAAACTTTCTATATTTAGAAAAAAAATACACTTGTGAGGAATGCAAAATGAGATTTTTTTTTTTAGTGTTAATAACAGTTCCCTTCTAAAATGTGAAACTATATTTCCTTCTTTTGTTTTTCTGCGAAGGAACTGTGAAATAATTATTTGAACTAATAGTTGCGATGTAATATTACAATAGGGATGCATTTAAAAGGATCATGATGAAGAATAAGTTCACAGAGCAGTTCTTCTTGGGCATCCCATACCTGATGACTCTGCTCAACTGCCTCATTACAACCGCTTGGTATAAATTCACTTCTTTAGTTCAAAATATATATATATATATAAATCTCTCATTTATTTAATTGTGTGCATATATATGAGGAGAAAGATAGCTTGTGTTGCTATACTCGGCTTGTTAGGATTTCTACTCGAAAGACTAAAAGTGATTTTTAAAAGACTAAAGCATTTCCGATTATGTTTGAAAAGTATCTGAATGAGCTTCTAACTCGTAGAAGCATTTTATGAAGCAGCACCTGCAAGATGCTTCTTCGTAAAGCATTTCTAAATGCTTTTTTAATAAGCACTTTGACTTTTAAGGAAAATTCACAAGTTTTTATATTAAAAGAATTTTCGCAACATCGCTAATGAGCATAATTGCTTTTTAGAAAAGCAATTCTAATCGACTCTACCTAAGAATTTGCAGCATTGATCTAATTAATGTTGCATAAATATATATATATGCTAATTATTAGTGACATAATTGATTAGTTTGTATTTAATTTTTATCTATTGTGAATTAAATAGTTTGTAAAAATCCAACAGGTATTGCCTGCCATTTGTGTCTCCATGCAGCATATTGGTATCGACAGTCAATACTATCGGGGCAGCTCTTGAATCCATATACCTGTTGATCTTCGTCACATTGGCCCCCAAAAGAGAAAAAGAAAAAATTATTGAGCTCCTCACTTTTGTGCTCTCTTTTAAGCAACAGTAGAACACTAATTAATAAGCTAAAAGAAATCCGAAGCATATGAGGAATAACTTTGACAATTAGATATTTAGGATGATACTATCCACACATCTTTTTTTATTTTTTACATTTATATTTTAATTTTTGGTTGGCAGATCAAATCTTTTAAAATCAAATGATATAAATTAACAAAATGTATGTGAAAAACGAAAAAGAATGTGTGGATAACACCACCTCCTTATATGAAATCTTCACGCGCTTGAGTGAAATATTTTGTAACTTCTTTTGGGGCACAAAGGATGATTTGCAACATGCATATTATTTGTAACATGTATGTTGTAACTATATTTATTAGGTTTTTAAGTTAATAAATATTTCATTAATCAAATAAAATGACTAACATCATTTATTAGGAATATAATTTGGGGATTACACACACAACAAAAAGACAATATAAAACCTACCTTACATAACCATATCTAACTAAACGAAAAGGTAACACTCAAGAGGACAAAACCTTGCATCACTTTTTGATGAACTTGTAAAAGATGACGCTCCTTCAACAAAGAAGCCCTGTTATATGAGACATCACAAAAATGTCTTCATAGTCCTTGCTAGGCAAATGAACTTCAAAACCACAACCGAAACAAAACAAAAAAATGATCCAAGACAAAATAAACTCTTCAACGGTACAATTCTCGATCTCAAGAGACTCACACCTAAACCAACAAGAAAGATAAGTTCACAAAGCCTAAGCCTTACAGGCCGAACCTAACACTGTGAAGGAACACAAAGGTAAACATCATAACATCACCTGAAGACTTTACAACGACATCAAAACATGATTGTAAATCCCTCGAACAACTACAACAATCCACGAAGGAATGACCACACCACCCTTTGATGATCTCGCAATCGTCGGCAAAAAACATACTTTTAGTCTTCTCTAATAAATGTTGAGATTCCTCTACATAATCATTGCCAACCACACAAACCAAAAAATCACCACCTCATACTTGAACAACTGTCCCTTTAAGATTCGAGGTTGAGCAGTAAATCATAGCTGCTACAAAAGCTCTCATCCTCACTAAAAGAGAATAACCATAACCACAATCACAAAGGTCTTTCTTGAAAAAGTGATAGAGAGACCACTACCAAAAACAAAAACAAAAACAAAAATAAAAGAAAAGGAAAAGATCAAGAAGATTGACACCGACCCCAAAGCCAAAGGCTAGAGTTGGGAATGGAAGCTTTTTCTTTGATTTTTTTTTCCTCTCGAGGATAGAATTTGTTAGGATGAAACATCGTCTATTATTTGATTAGGTTTATATAATATATACTAGCCGATGAGCACACACCATGTGTGTGTGAACAATTTCATTTTGTTTTTTGTTTTTTTATTAAGGAGTGTGATTAGTTTTTAAAATTTTAAAAAGAGTATGAAAAAAATGATGGTGGGACAATTTCTCTTAATAAGTGCATATTTTATCTTAATATTACATAATTACTTTTTTTAGTCCTCCTTATGTAAATATTTTGTATCAAAAGTTAGGGTAAAATAGGAAAAATAGGGATATGATTGCCATTTTGTCATAGAGAGGGTAAAACAGGGAAAATAGGGATATGATTGTTATTTTGTCAAATGGTACAAAATCACTATTTTGCCCTCCTCATGTCAATATTATGTATTCAAAAGTGAGGGCAAAATTGGAAAAAGTGAGAAAAAAGTTGACAAGGGCTCTTCTCTTAAGAGCAAGTCCACCCATGGTGGTTGCTCGGGGGACAGGCTCCAGGAAAGGGCCCGAGGGCCGGTTGGTAGGCCTCCAGCCTTGGAGAGCCCGAGTGAGGGTGGGAGCCCGAGGACCGGAAAGGTGGGGAATCGACAGGCTTATGGCCCGAGCTCGTGACGTCAGGCCTGGGTTCGGCTTTTTTTATTTATTTTTTTTGTGTCAGGCGCGTGCCCCACACTCGCGAGTGGGGGCACGTCGCCCGACAGGAATTCAGGGCACGGGCCCGTGCGCCCAGAAAACCCAGTTACCGTTAGGAAGCCACGTGGCTTCCCACGGTCCGTTCGATCCCAACGGCTCTTTAATACGAGCCGTCCGATTTGCAACGGTAATTTAAAAAAAACCTAATTTTATGTCAACCGTTCGATTTGAGATCAACAGTTGATATTAATCTGCTTTATAAATTAAAAAAAAAGAAAAAATAGTTTTAAAATTAAGAAAAGTTACCGTTGTGACACGTGGCACAATCTAGAGTGTTGGAATTCAAATTTTTTAAAATCCAATGGCAGAGATTAATTATTTGAATAAAAATTTAAAAAAATTGTAAAAAATCCGAAAAAAATTGTAAAAAAATCTAAAATAAATTTGTAAAAAATTGTTTTTACTTTTCTATGAATACCACTTCTTCCCCATCTACCTTACACCAAAATTTCATATTTTCTCCACTACTTATAATCAAATTCCTATCTTTCTCTCAAAGTTTCAATCCAATTTTTTTCCACAAAATGACTACTGATGCAGGTACGAATTGGTCGCTTCTTGAAGATGTTGCGTTGTGCACTAGCTGGGTTGAAGTTACTCATAATTCCCTTACAGGTAATGAGATGCAGTTGCGAGAAATGTGGAGTTTAATTCATACCAAATTTCTTGAGCAAATGAGTGGGAAAAGAACCAAAGAATCGATGTCCAGTCGTTGGAAAATACTTAGCCATTCCTTTAGTACGTGGAGAGATGCCTTAACACAACCTAATAGTAATGTTCGAAGTGGGGCGGATGAGGTAAGAATATAATATAATTATTTGTTTGTATTATTATTTTGTTACCTAATTTGATTATAATTATTTGTTTGTATTATTTATTTGTTACCTAATTTCATTATTATTATTTGTTTGCATTATTTATTTGTGACCTAATTTCATTATTATTATTTGTTTGTATTATTTATTTGTTACCTAATAATTTCATTATTATTATTTGTTTGTATTATTTATTTGTTACCTAATAATTTCATTATTATTATTTGTTTGTATTATTTATTTGTGACCTAATTTCATTATTATTATTTGTTTGTATTATTTATTTGTTACCTAATAATTTCATTATTATTCATTTGTAGCAACTTCAAGCACAAGCATGGTATGCTGCCAAAATCAAATCAAGAAACAAATCATTCCACTGGTGGGAATGTTGGAATATTGTTAAAGATTGTCCTAAATTCAAAGTTGTGCCTGTTGGCCCAGAAGTATGCATGAACAGCACCCCTCTACACAGCACCTTTGTACACAGCACCCCTCCACACTCTACACCCGATCATGGCTCCCATGTTGATGAAGAAGATGGAGAAGAAGTGCCTAAAATGCCCATTCCTGAACAAGCATCGAGGTCGACCCGTTATCCAATTAGGCCTCAAGGTAAGAAGGCTTCAAAGAGGAAAATGAGTGCTTCCAAGAATGATTATGGAAAGTATAAGCAAGAACTTGCTCGTCAAGGTGAATTGACGTTGGCGCGGGAATTGGCGAAATATGAGGCTGAAAAGGCTAGAGATAAGGCAAAAGCTGCAGCTATTCAACAAGCATTTCAAGCAAAACAGAGGGAAAGAGAGCTACTTAGGCAAGAAAGGGAGTTGCTTAAAGAATAAAGAATTGCACAACGAGATCGTGACATTATGAACACGCGTTTAGAAGGGATGTCTCCAAATTCTAAATATTTTTGGCAGTCGGAGAAAGCGGATGTGGTGCAAAGGAGACGTGCAAGAGAAGCGAGATCAAGACAAGATGGTCCTAGCACAACAAGACAAGATGATCCTAGCACCACAGATTGGTTAAGTGATGATGAATAGGGTACTTTTTGTAATCGGAGCCCATAGTTTTCCAATCACTTTGGGTTGTAATTTATTATTTATGTTGTTTCCAATTTATTGAAGTTAGTACTTTATTTAAAGTGAGAGTACATTTATTTAATTTCATAATATATTTATCCTAATAATAGAATCTTTATTCATCAAATTGTTCACGTATAATGAAATTATAAAACACACCAAATAAATCTAAAAAACTCACCAATTGGAATTACATAAACACACCAAATAAAATTACATAAACATACCAAATAATACAAAACTCACTACAAAAAACACACCAAATAAAATTACATAAACACACCAAATACAAACAAACATACTAAATAAACTTAAGTATCTTCAGCTTGTTTCAATGCCCACTGGTGCTCTATCAAGTCAATTTGCCGATCATTGTGCATAGATGACCTTTGAAGTTTAGTATATCGTTGAATGACCCTTTCATTGTAATGTCCATCCCTTTCTAATGGCTCATGTTGCACGGGTTCTTCGGTGGCATCATGCGCACAATATATCAGTGTTCTTGAATTGTTCATCGTGTCTGGCTCTGGCTCATATTCATCAACCGCATCATAATCGAACTCATCTTCCACAATCATGTTATGAAGAATGACGCACGTCATCATGATAGATTGAAATGACTCTACATCGAACATTCTGGCAGCACCCCTGACAATCGCCCAACGATAGGATACCAAAACAACGCTCCACATCCTTCCTGCACCCTTCTTGACAACTTGCAAAGTGTTTTTCCTTTGCACTTCGCGGACGTGGCACTGTTTTGACAAATGTTTCCCACCATGGGTAAATGCCGTCAGCTAGGTAGTATGGCCCGTCGTACCTACGTCCATTGACGACATATGTGACTTTTGGTACCTTTCCTTGCAGGACGTCGTTGAACACTGGGGATTGGGCAAGGACGTTGAGATCATTTTGAGCCCCCGGAACCCCGAAAAAGGCGTGCCATATCCATGTATCAAAAGATGCCACTGCCTCCAAAATAATAGATTTTGCTCATTTTCTGTCCCCATATGCGCCTTGCCATGCACTTGGACAGTTTTTCCACGTCCATTGCATACAATCGATGCTTCTTATCATCCCAGGAAAACCTCGCATCTTGCCCTTCTTCAGAAGCCTTTGCAAGTCCATGTGAGTAGGTTTTCAGAGGTACTCTGCAGTGTACAAAGATTCTACTGCTCCGCAAAACCTCATCAGGGCC